AAAGAGTGTAAGAATAATACCTCAGGGCTACTGTTAAAGTATTAGATTGCATTGTGATGTGATTTTAAAAAATTAGCCTGGAGACAATTTCCTGAATGTGAAGGAAAAAAGTTGCAAATCCTTCAGAGTTTAGATAGAATAACATGCAAGCTCACCAACCTATTTGTTTCATTCACAGTTGAAAAAGCAAGGTTATAGGTTCCACCATGAGGTTATGTCTTAAAGAAGGATCCTATGAATTACTGTTATTGTTGGTCTGTGTATGTTGTGCATAAATTGAGAGCGTATTTTTTTAAACTGATGAATTTGATCAGCTAATATGCGGTACTGTAGAAGTTTGTGGAATATGTAGCATTGTTGAATTAATAGCTACTCTTTTTTTTTTCCTTTCTGTAGTTTTCAGTATTTCAGTTGTTAGCTTGGAGGCTGTTATTACAATAATAGAACTTAAAAAATTCAGTAGGAACTTTCAGGGTTCTTTTTTACTGTCCTAGATGTATCTAACTGATGTAATAACTCTCAGAATACTTGATACAAACCAAAAACCCCACTCTCTTTCTGATTGTTAGGTTCTCAGTTGCTGTGAAAGACAGCATGTGTAGGCTTGGTCTTAATTTTTCCGTCTCCCTCCCCAGGTTTCTAATGTTTCTTAAATAAATCTTACTTCCTAAATGAGGATGAGTTCTTTGAGAATTTAGTAACTAAACAACAGATAAATGACAGTCCTCTTGCCTTGCAGTCTATTGCGTGCTTGAAATAGTATCTGCTAATAACTTTTTCTCTGTGATGCTCGTTTATTTATTCTTGTTTCTGTATTGCATAAGGACTGTACAATTAAGTAGACTTTGTATAGTTTAAGACGTTTTCATATGTTACATGTAGTCTGTTTGCCTATAAGCAGTCTGTTCTTTAACGTCTTTGAAACTGCATGACTGGTCCTTCAGTTTCACAGTAGTCTCTGGATTCCTGTCCAGTCTAGGTAACTTTATTCAACTCTGTACAGATATGCAGAGTTTTCCCTCCTAGATGAAGCTTCAAATTCAAGCCTCTGGGTACCAATATTTTTGAAAGTTCCACTCAGAAAAAAAATCTGGTATATTGGAAAGTGCCTGACATAGGTTAATGAAAGTAAATTAATTATCTGTATACTGATAATGGTTAGTTTGTTTAATGAAAAATGCATGAAGGACTGTAGTAAAGTAAAATTAATAGTAAAGAACGAAAAAACCTATGTGAGAAGTAATGTTTAGTTACCATTTAATATAAGGTGTAATGACATATTGCTGTATCTCTTCACAGGTTTCGTGGATGTTTTCAGTGCTTTACGCTCACCTTATTTGTACAGACATCATCCTAATCCCCTCCAAAATTTCTGTTCAGATGTTCGGTGTTGGCCAGGTATAAAAACAATAAACTACACAGTTTATTTTTAATTTCTATAGTATCTTTTTTACTTTTGTCATAGAGGCGTCACTCGAGAAATACCAGTTAACTTCCAAGAGGAACTTAACTTTGATATTAACGCTTTAAAGTCTGAAGTTGTTTTTGCATTTGAGTAGCGTCTTTCCAGAATTCTTAGCAAACATGGTGTAACTATATAATTTTGCTCAAACTTGTTGGTGTTTGTGGATTGTATTCTTTAAATATGATCAATGAGCTGACTACTTTTGAATCAATAAATATGTTAAGTCTGGTATTCAGCCAGATGGACTTTCTAAGGTGCTTTGTGGCTCACTTAAACTACCCTGGATGCACAATAGGTGACAAGGGGGCTGCATTAGCAAGAACCTTATCAGGAGCTCAGGCAGTTCAAGTATTGTCCTCAGTTCTTCTCTTGCTGAATCTAGATACTGTGTCTGGATTTGTGTCCCATGGGTAAGAGAGAGATGCTGGCAAAATGAAGATAGCCTCAGTGATGGGCCACAAGGAAGGGTGCAGATTTTTGAGTATTTAATGTACAGAGGAAGCTGAAGGATCTGAGGTTTTGAAGTTAGCAGAAGAGAAGGCAAGGAATCATTAATTACAATTGGAGCTGTATTAATTACTCTTGTACATCTCAAAGAAGAGGCAACAATTACAAGTAAAAGCAAAGGAAATTCCTGTTGGAAAATTTTCATGATGAGAATGGCCAAGTTCTGAAATGGTTTGTCTGGAGAAGTTGTGCTTTCTTAATCCTTAGAAATTTCAAAACTTGAGCTGGACAAGGTCCAGAGCTGCCTGGTCTGATGTTGAAGTTACACCTTTTGGAGCAGGGGTTTGACTAGATCACCTTCAGAAATCCCTTTTATCTGGTGATAACAGAAGGCCTAGTTAAATTACATAATAGACTGATATTGGTAATTATTTTAAACATAGCAGTGAAGATAAACATTCTTGGCTTTTATGATTTATGTGATAAAATCTCCATTGCAAGGTTTCTGATATGATAGAAGATGACATACAGTGCTCTAAGATCACTGTGTTTAAATGGTCTCATTTCTTTTGTCAGTTTCTAAGTTAACAGCTCACCTAAACCATTCCAGATCTCTTCAGGGCACCTTAGCTTGTCTAAAAGCTCAGACAAAGTTTATCTGGAACCTTCATTCTCATCCTTATGGCTTATGTTCTAAATGTTTGGTATTTGTTGAGCTACCTGGATTTAATTTGGCTGTGTCTCCCTTCTGTTCCCTGAGACTGTGATAGGGGTGGGCAGTTTTCTGTAATATACCACGTTAACACCTGATTATTTTATCCAAAATGTTTATGGGAAAACTACATTATGAAAAAGTAAGCAGTTTACTTTTGAATTTGGATTACGAACATGGCTCATGATCACCGAGTTATCCATTTACAATACAAAATTATTATTTTTTAATTATCTAGTTTATAACTATTAGACCCAGGAGTGTCTGTCATACACTCTTCTGTTTTTTATATTTTTGGTCAGATATCTCAAACAGCTTGCTCTGTGCAGTTCACTTTCTACTGTGGATATTTTGGGAAGATTGTATTCAGTTCACTGATAATTTTTTCATGTGTTTTTCATAAAATAGTTTCTGAAATCTCTAGTTTGCCTTTTTTTTTGTAGCGGTAGTAATATATCAGCTTTAACTTTTATTTATTATTGCTATTTTAAGTTTATGTACAATCACGGACCTTCAAGACTTTGAGATCGAGAGCAAGACGTCTGCAGTCAACGTCTGAACAGTTCACAGAAACAAAAAATTCACTTTCTTCACTTTTGAAGGTAAATACAAGTAGCATTATGAAGCATTATTCAGATAATCTCTTACTCTTGAGTGAATCTTCACAGTTTATCAAGGGTGTTTTGTTACGCTGGTGTGAAAAACAATTATTTTTTAAATTTTGCGTTAATGACAAGGTACTAATATACAGATTTGCTTTATATATCATCAATATAAAGATTATTTGAACTTTTTAGGATATTAATTTCAGGATTTTAAGCTCTAGAAATATAATTAGTCATATTCTGTTTTGGTGGCTTTGTTAAAATAGCTTGGAGTAAAATGAAATATTTGTTTGAACATAAATACAGCTAGTTTATCATACAAGGATTTATTCTTTTAAGCAGTTGAGCATGTGATTGTTGCTTTAAGCACAGGCTTACTAGTGGCTGGTATGTTGTTAAGATACAAAAATTTTAAATTTGGTGGTTTTATGTGTTTCAAGCTTACTTATATACTTTTAATACAGCAGAAAACTATCCAGGCTTGGGGTAGCCAAGCACTTAACAAAACCAAATTAGCCTGGGTACTCTGCTTCTAAATGGTTGTACAGAAGTCAGCTAATTAAAGTGTTTGATCTTACTGTGTGTGTAAATTAGCTTTGAACTCTCCCCTTTTTATAGGCATATGTAGTTTATTTCGTCTGTGGAATAGGTATACCATGCATGAAGATAAACCAGAGCTAGGTCCATGCAGTGATGCTCTTAAATTTGTTAGAGTGCATGAGATGTATTTGTTGAAGTTTTATCAAAGCTGTACCTAAGATTATATTTCACATTTGGAAATTATTTAAATTGATTCACGAAGCAGAAAGCTTAAGCTAATAATTCCCACTAGAACCAGTGTACAAAACTAGCTGTGTACAAATCTGCCTTAGGCTGCATTTTCTGTTTGGAATTGGGGTCCAGGAGGGTTCTGAACTGACCTGTTCAGCAAAAATCAGGGTGCTCCTGCTTGAAGCTGTTGTGATTCCACACTTGTGCTACTACCCTGTGTCTCATTAACCCCAGAGTATCTGCATTACATTTTTTTGTCTTCCCTCACCCGTGCTAGCCAAGTTGTAAGTTAACTACATATCAGAGTTTTAGTGTACTAATGCTGCTGTGAAAAATATTTTAGGGCTTTATCCTGAGAAAGCGAAGAATTGATGTTGAAAACTTAGATACGCTAATGAAAACAAAAAACATCCCAGAGGCACACCAGGATGCTTTTAAAACTGGTTTTGCAGAAGGCTTTTTGAAAGCACAGGTATTCCTGCAAAAAACACTTGGTAAGTGCTTTAGTTCATGCGTCTTGTCTTTGCATTCAGGAAGTAGTTTATTTTAGCCCATTTAAAAGCTTTTCTTGTTTTCTTTTACAGATTCCTTACGAAGATCACGTTTGCTTTCTTTCTTTCTCTTCGTTCTTTGTTTTTATCTTGCTATTTATTCATCATTTTTACCTGGGAAAGGCTCCTTTTCTGACGCTGGTTAGTTAACTTTTTTCCCTTCTTTTTCACTTGCATTGTTTCTTCCAGCAAGTTCAGCACAAGTGAAATGTTTTGACATTATGATTGTTCTAGGATAACATGTCAATGTACTAATGAAAGAGAAGAGTTATTTACTGCTTTTAGTTACAGACTTTCAGACAAGTGTGACAGACAGTAGACAAAAGTTGTCCATTAATATAATTATTTTAATTCTTTTGAAACAATTACATGGAGCCAGAGAAGAAGTCAGACCCTTCACCAATTATGTATTTGTCTTTTAATTTAGATGATGTGTTACCTAGGTCAGCAGTAGGCAAAATGCTTTAATTTTTATTTGTAATCACAGCCTAGTTTGTAGGAACGTGTACTTGCATGGCCAAATTGTCATCCTGAGAAATGTTAGTGCAACAACCAAAGGCTGAGCTAATGTAAATGGAGAATTTCAGCTTCATGCTAAGTAGAGCATCTGCAGAAACACTGAGGGAGAAATTCTGGCTTTGTGTACCTGCTATGCATGCAGGGCTTTCTGCACTGCAAATGACTAATCTCACTCACAGCACTGAATTAGCTCCAAATATTTTAAAGATTTTTTTATTTTAAAAAACATTTTTGCTGGACACTTGTAAATGGAAACATGGCCTTATAAAAGGACTTGTGTAAAGTTAGTGACTTAATGGTATGCATTCAAGTGCAAATGTGTAAATTGTTCATCATCTGCTGTTTGCTGTTAGTACGCTTTCGAACATCGAGTATCTTTGATGCAGCAGTTGATCCAATCCAGCTGAAAAATGTCACCTTTGAACATGTAAAAGGGGTAAGTTCAGAAGGAAAATGTGAGTTCTTGCTTAAAAACTAATTGTTGTGTGCCTGAAGAATGTCTTGCTCTGTTCAGGAAGTTTTTTTTTGTGAACTGAATCCATATGTATATCAACCTCTGCAAGATGAAGGAGGGTTTCAACCACCCTTTCTCTACTTTTTATCTTTGTGGCATTTAATACGTTATAAAAGGTGCACTCTCAAAATTGTTGAATCACATTTTTAAAGGCTAGAATAGCAAAGGACAGACCATAAGTATCCATGGTAATTTAATTTTTTGCAGAAGTTGACCAACACAAGAAGGTGTTAATGTCATGTGATCATTTCTCTCTTAGTACCATCTCTTTCGGATATCTGATATTAGGGCAGGAGATACAGAGATTCCCAGAAAGAAGTGGGCCTGTCACTGCTGATGAGATAGTTTTACTTTTTCTGTTAAACTGTTCTTTGGCTGTCAGTAGCAAAATGAAGACAGATAGAATTAATATATTTTTAACTAATTAGACTAGTAATTTGATGTAGAATTTTGGATTCTGTGTTTATCTTGTTGGACAGATGTGGTCTTGAACTGCTTGGTTATTCCTTCAGTGTTATTAACTTTAGTGTTTACTGATGATTGCTACGAACAGTTCCAGGAAATAGGTTGAATTAAACTCATGGATGTTTGGTAGCTACACAGATTCTGTAGTATGCTTTTATCTCCTCTTTCTGTTGTGTATTTTTGATCAGTACCGTACACAAATAGAGACTTAGACTTGTCTTACAAAACAGAAGCAGTGTTTTATAAATGCTTAGTTATACTTTGTGCCATGTTTTTAATGTGCAGGTTGAAGAAGCTAAACAGGAATTGCAAGAAGTTGTGGAATTCCTGAAAAACCCTCATAAATTTACTGTACTAGGAGGTAAACTTCCAAAAGGTAAGATACATTGCTTGTCAGAATAAAAATCTCCTTAGGGGGAAAAAAAAAGTAAACAAAATGAGCCTAAATACTGCTGTTGCATTTAGTTTGTATTTGGGAAAAATAGTGAAATAATGTTAGACAATCCGCAAAGAGAGTTGTCAAAGCTTCTGTATTAAGGGATATGTTTAAATAGGGTGCTTGGGGGTGAGGGAGTGGAGGTCAAGGTAGTTAGGTTGCATACTTCCTGTCTTATGTTTAGCTTCCCATATGTAAAAGTTGGTCATTCATGCCTGCTCCCACAGGGAATTTGAGGTATCTGGGATATTCAGATAGAAGCAGCAAAGATGTCTCGATACATCTTGCATTTGGTAGAAATTCAGTAATAACATTAGGAATAATAAGCTATGACAGTGCACAGCAGTGGACTGTAGATTCCAGGTAAAAAGCCTTTCAGAGATCAAACCTGTGTTCGTTACTGTAAGCAGCCTTCTCAACAGAGTTAAGACTTGGTATTTCTTTGAAGTCCCCAGTAAACCTTTTAGAAATGATGTGCTGAACAGTAAAGATTCTTCTACTTTATCACTGAACATAATACAATATTAGAAATTATTAACTGGTAAAGTTAAGTATAATTGGCATTAATGTCTTTTTGAGAACTTCATGTGGCCCATAGGTTTTTAGGTCTGTCTTTTTTCCCCTCTTCTTTATCTGTTTCTATAAGGATATCTTTTTTTAAAGTTAATAGCTTCCTGTCACCAAAATTTTTAATTCTGTTGTACTTTTTCTCATCTGAGTCTAGAAAACTTAACCAACATAATGCAAAAATGTCTAAAAACACCCCTGTAATATGCAGATTAATATGCTGGGGTTAGGCAAAACTTACTGTGCCTTGTTATTAAACAAACATAGTAGTCCTTTGTCTTGAAAGGCATGGTTTTTATGTAACTGAGCTCTTACAGGTTTTTATGTAACTGAGCTCTTAAAAGGCCTTTATTTCTTCTGGATAGCTTACAGCACCTTAGTGCTTTCTGTCTACCATAAGCAGTTCAGAAACAAATGTTTTCATTTAAAAGTATGATTAAGCTTGATCATAGTAGAAGGCCAAATGAATCTGAAATATGTGAACCTGGTACGTCTGTTTCCTGTTGGTGCTCTACACTGTTTAAAGTCAATTATTTGGAATGATTTTATAAAAACAAAACAGAACACTTTCAGAAACAGCTAGGAAAATGTTAGTTTGAAGAAAACACTACTAGGGATTCAGCTGCTAAACTCAGCAGTAACTGTGTAGAATACTTCAGGCTTCTGTTTTTGTTTGGTAGTCTTACAGGTGTTTGTTTCAACGTGGATCAGAGTGTATTCTGGCCTGTTTAGGAAGCTTCCTCGGACTGCAAGTAATGAGCAGTATCTGGAATGGGATGTTAAAGGCTTTTTGAAGTCAAGTGTAAATTACTTCTTCTAATGCATGGAAGAAGGAGTACTTGTAGAGTAAGGCTGTGTGGGTTTGGTGGTTTTGTTGCTGTTTGGACTTTTTTTTGGTCTTTTTTAGGTATTCTGTTGGTTGGACCACCAGGTACTGGTAAAACTCTTCTTGCACGGGCAGTAGCTGGTGAAGCTGATGTGCCATTTTATTATGCATCTGGATCTGAGTTTGATGAGATGTTTGTTGGGGTGGGAGCCAGTCGCATCCGAAGCCTGTTCAGTAAGTTAAATATTTATGGTTTTGAAATCTTATAAGATGCAGTATTAAGTATTCAGTGTTGTTTGCAACATTTGGTTAGGTACAGTTCTGGTTACTGGAAAGTACTAAAGTATAAGGCTTATTAGCCTTACAAATGAATAATTATAAGTAGCCTTATAAATAAAGCTTTGAGTAGGGAAATCTCAGAATTCAGTGGGTATCCGTTAACTGTAGAATCCTGCTAGTTGTCAAAGGCAATTGTGGAAAAAATTATGACTGATGTTACAGCCCTCCCAGAGAGAAAAGAAGTAATTTAATTAGAAATGTAATGCTGTATAAATTAAAGGAATATTTTAAACTGTAATTTACTTACTGTCATATGAAAATTATTGTAAATTTGAATTAAAGTGCAAAATTAAAATAACAGTGTTTGCCTTCTCAATGACTTCCCTCATATTTTATATTGTCTATTTTCTGTCACTAATGGAGAGTCACTACAGAATCATGATGTAGCACTAAGCTGAGATTTCCTTTTCACACCCATCCATAGGCCCAAAATAAAGGGCATTATAACGAAACTTTAAATTAATGTTTAGATTGATAACTTTCACAGGAGAGGCTTTCTATTTTAGGTATGCAAATAAATGTTTTCAGAGTAGGGGGTAATCTCACCTCTCTTAAATGGAAGACTGATAGTGTCAGGCAAATACAAATGTAGTTGTTTCACATGGAAGGGATACAGAGTGTTAATGTGCACTGTACCTTAAAATGTGCATTTGACTGCAGAAGTTTATATGACCAGCTTGTGCATTAATATTAATTTATAGATATATCTGGCTGTGTGAGATGAGTTGCATCCTGGTATGCATGTGCCAGTCAACCATTTTGAATTTACTATTGCAATTTTGTTTTTAATACCTGTAAACTTGAGGGTGAGGTCATCACTGGTAAATAACAAGCAGGTTCTATTAAAATAAGCTAGTGGTTAGACCCTTCACATCTCATAGTATTGAATAGGTCAGTGTTCTCTACCCAAACCTATGAAATAAACTGCTGTAGGGAGTTGACAGAAAATACAATTAATTTCTTAATCTGTTTACTAGGCATTTCTTGTAGCGTGGTAAGAATAAGCTGTTGTGCAGATTAAGAACCTTGCTTGTTTTTATTTTGCTTCATTTCAAAAATATATTTCATTGTTTAGGCTAAAATCAATACAATTCTGGTGGTGTCTAATAGAACACTATAACCCAAGAGTTATAGAAATAGTAGAAACCTAAATTACATGATACACTGTTCTTTTGTGTAATTCAAGTGCTATTTTTCTTTTGTCAGGGGAAGCAAAGGCAAATGCACCGTGCGTTATATTTATTGATGAGTTGGACTCTGTTGGTGGGAAGAGAATTGAATCTCCAATGCATCCCTATTCAAGACAAACCATTAATCAACTTCTTGCTGAAATGGATGGGTAAGTATATGGATTCTGAGGGCATAGAATGTGCTTGACTGACTGGTATTTTGAATATTTAGGTGAATTCTTCTTCCTTCACAGCTTTAATGTTTTTTGTAATTTTTTTCTAATGCTTATAGGGATATAAATTTAAGATGCTTTTATGAACACTTTCTAGTACTGCCAACAGTGGTATTAATGGCATGGCTGTAAAGAATATTGAAGCTTTGAATTTTAGTCCCAATAGCTGCAATTATTTTAAATAATTTCTCAGTATTTTAGGCTGGCTGTATACCTTAAGGAAGAAATTCAACTCTGAGATCATGCTTTTAACCAGTTGCTGAGTTAAATGTGATCATTCTTGGATCACGTTGTGGCTTCACAGCATGTTTTTGACTGGCCAGTTGAGGTCATCCAAAATAAGAAGTATAAGTAGATACTGACAAAAAAAGGTGCAAATTCTGTCTCAAAACCCCCCCTAACATTCTCACCCCTTTTTTCCATACAGGTTTAAACCTAATGAAGGTGTTGTTATTATTGGTGCAACAAATTTCCCTGAAGCGTTAGATAAGTGAGTATAATGGATTGATGATTTCTACAGAATATGTATTGAAAACCAGAACAAACCACAAAAATAAAAATGAAGGTGCTTGTTACCATCTTCAAGTATTACAGCTTTATAGTGGAGGTTGTTTCCTCTTGAAAAGGATGTGTATTGACTAGTTTTTGACATTTAAAAAGTTGTTGCATTAAATACGGAGAAATCAGTAACGTGCTTCTATGCATCTAAAATTTCTGGAAGCTTTTCCTCCTTCAATTGACCAGCTGCATTCCTGATTAGCAATGCAAAATTTTCAAATATAAAAAAGCCTGTAAAATGGGTTGATCATAAACATCTTTTATCTGTTCTTTTACAGATAAGAAATACATATTCTTTGCATCTGATTATGTCTGACACCAGGCATAGTCTATGTAGATGTTTTTAGAAATGTCAAATTGTTTTTTGTTCCTTGTGTATGTAACAGTTTATGGCAGTGCTTTTAAGTCAGTGTATTAAATTGTCTTCTCCCTTAGTGCTTTGATACGTCCTGGTCGCTTTGATATGCAAGTTACTGTTCCCAAGCCTGATGTAAGAGGTCGTACTGAAATTCTCAAGTGGTACCTTAATAAAATAAAGTATGATCCATGTAAGTAATACTTAATACCTTGGTATGTAACAGTCTATATACTGGATCATCCCAGTCATGTATTAGTTCTTTATTCTGTCAGCAATTGTGGCATTATCATGTGTCCCAGTAAAGAACAAAAATTGTCTAGTATGTGGTGTTATGACTGTCTTCTGAGGCAGTGTTTCTTTCTAGTCCCAAAGAGTCTAGAGTGTCTTAAGAATTAGGCTTCATTTCTTCTAAAGCTGAAATTTTTTAACACATTATTTTAAATAGCACATGATTCTTGCTTATAATTAGATTGTTTTTTGGTATTTCTTCATGGTACAAGCTTTTTCAGGAGCTGTATGGACCCTAATGACAAGTTTGTTTTTCCCCACAGCTGTTGATCCAGAAATAATTGCACGAGGCACCGTAGGGTTTTCTGGAGCGGAGCTTGAGAATCTTGTAAATCAAGCTGCCTTAAAGGCAGCTGTTGATGGAAAAGAAATGGTAACCATGAAAGAACTGGAATTCTCCAAGGACAAAATTCTAATGGGTAGGATTTTATACAAAAGACATACGTATTCTCACAAGTAACTGGTGATAGAACAAGAGGGAATAGCCTCAATCTGCCAAGTGAGGTTTAGACTAGACATTAGGAAGAACTTTTTCACTTAAAGGATTGTCAGGCCCTGGAACAGGCTGCCCAAGGAGGTAGTGGAGCCACCATCTCTGGATGTATTTAAAAGTCATCTACATGTGGTGCTTGGGAATGTGGCTTTAGGTGCTGGGCTTGGTAGAGTGGGATTAATGGTTGGTCCAAGGATCTTAAAGGTCTTTTCCAACCTTAGTGATTCTATGATATGTTACAGTACACAGGGTTTTCTTGTGTGATTTAAGACTTTTACAGAGAAAGGGAAGGTTTTATGCTAGTTTTTTGTTTTGGCTTTTTTAAAACAAAAAATCTTCAGTTAGTTTATTCTGAATATAACCTTTTGAGACGGAAGAGTAGCATGGTGAGATCTAGTATAGAATGCATTCTTTAAGACGTGATACTTTTTTTAATAAAAAATGCTGTATGTTGTACTTGAGCCTAGAGAAAGTGACAGACTTGATTTCTTACGCTTCCCCTACTTATTCCTAAAGGAAAGGAAAGAATAAATTACCAGAAACCTGTAACTTCTGTTAACTAACTTGTCATGGGATAACACAAAACTTGAACATTTGAGACATATGCGCTAAAAATCTGGTCTGTTCATACTTTTGGGATTTTGTCAGATACTCATTCTGCATTTTAAACCTATTTCTTTAAAAGCAACTTGTCTGTATTCTATTTTGAGCTACGTTTTAGACATGAAAATCCTACTTGTAAACATTTTGTACTTAATGAGTGTTGGTTAATTTTGCTTGCATGCTATTCCTCAGCTATTTTGTGCTCTGTTTGACTATATGTAATATGTGGATTATGGTGGTCAGCTGTATAAAAAAGTATATTTAATGTTCCTCTGTTTTAAGGACCTGAACGTAGAAGTGTAGAAATTGATGAGAAAAACAAAACCATCACTGCTTACCATGAATCTGGACATGCTATCATTGCATATTATACTAAGGATGCAATGCCAATCAACAAGGCTACAATCATGACACGAGGAACAACACTTGGACACGTAATTATTTCTAGAATTTTATGTTGGTTTAGTGATGTTGAGGAATTTTCCAACAATGCTCTTTGTTGTAATTATGTTAAGGCATATTGTAGTGTGTTGAAATACTCAGTTATGAGCAACGTCTTGGAACACTCACTGGTCATTTTTTCTGTGTGATAGAAGATTTCTTCCTTCATTTGGAAACAAAATAGCATATGCTAGTATAATAGTGCACCTAGACAAGGTAAGAAATATAGGTTTGATTCCTCTGCAGTTAAAATAGCACCCAACAGTGACATTTTAAACAGTGTCTAAAGGACTGCAAAGTAGAAGCACTGCTCAAGTCTACTTTTAACACTTAACATCCTTTATCGAGTTGTTCTTTGTCCTATGTGACTTTTCTAATCCTAATCGGTTACCTACCTTGTTTCTAGCGTAGATATCTCTAAGTTTTTCTGTTCTGCCTTTAGCTGCCAAGCATTCGAGCAGAAAAGTATTTTTGTTAACATCTGTTTCTGTTGAACTTTATTCAAGTGAATATATTCAGTTAAAGAAAATCATTGGCCTGAATCCTTCAGGTGAGATGATTTGTGCTTAGTACAAGTCTAAGGAATAAGAAGCAATGGACAGACTAGCTTGTTCTTTTGTGTTCTGGTGGTAGGTTTAAGTTGCTTAATTTAATGTGATGCTCAAGGCCTTTAGGAGGCTATTTCAGCTAGTAGCAGCTTCAGGCAAACTTGATGAATGCATAGACAAGGAGGAGGCCCAGAGCATTCAAGTTGTTGCATAAAAACTTTCATATCTGCTTTGGATAGGAACAAGAATATTTTTCAGATTATTTCGGTATTTCTTCAGTTTCGTCACCTGACCACAGTTCCATATCTTGCAGGTATCTTTGCTCCCAGAAAATGACAGATGGAGTGAAACTAGATCCCAGTTGCTTGCACAGATGGATGTCTGTATGGGAGGAAGAGTAGCAGAAGAGCTCATATTTGGAAGTGATCACATCACAACAGGTCAGCTGGTTAAAAAATTTTTTAACAAAGCTTGTGGACTGGCGTGTTTAACTTGGTTCATTAACATAATTTTACATCTGTTTGCTATGTAGGTGCTTCCAGTGATTTTGACAATGCTACTAAAATTGCAAAACTGATGGTGACTAGATTTGGAATGAGCGAGAAGGTAGTATCATCAATCCTTAAATATTTATATGGAACAAGGAAATCTGTTCTGTAACTATTACTAGTCCTTAGATCAGACATCAGGAGGAAATTCTTCACTATGAGGGTGGTGAGACACTGGAACAGGTTGCCTAGGGAAGTTGTGGAAGCCCTGTCCCTGGAAGTGTTCAAAGCCAGGTTGGATTGGGCCTTGAGCAGCCTGGTCTAGTGGGAGGTGTCCCTGCCCGTGCAGGGGATTGGAACTAGATAAGCTTTAAGGTCCCTTCCAGTGAAAACCCTTCTATGATTCTATGACATTATTGTTCTGTAACTACTATTTGGCTGTCAGTGATAACAGAGACTAAGTAGTTCTGGCAAAAAAGAAAGTAAGCCTTATGGCTGTCCCTACTATAAAGAATTCAACTAGAAAACTGATATATTTGTTTAAAAATGAACTTACAAGATCTTCACCTCAACATTACCTTAAAAGTTATTAATGTCTGCAGAAAATATATATGATAGAACCAAGCATTTTTGAATTGAGGATAATCTTGGATTTTGGGGGTGGGGATGACAGCAACAAGTTTGCTAGATGTCTAAAGAAACCTCTTTAGTCATCTTTATTATCCGTCGCGTGTTAGTAGCCTGGGGATCTTGTTTTTGTTTTTCTTGGGGGGGGGTTGTTTGTTTTCCTGTTGTTTTTTTAAATAAGAATACACTTAATCAGGACCTGTACTGTGACCTGTTGAAATAGAACTTTGCAGTGACTACATAGGTGATGAATAGACTTCTCAATTTGCTTCTGTTGCCAAGAACTTCAGCAAGTGTTTGATTAATGATTTTATTTGCTTGCACAGAGAAGCAATAAGTGATGAAGCTCTTAGTGTTCTATGTGTATTACTGCAACAGTGGTAAGACAGTGTTTTTTGTTGTTTAGCTTGGTGTTATGACCTATACTGACCCTGGGAAAGTTAGCCCTGAAACTCAGTCTGCAATTGAGCAGGAAGTAAGAACACTTCTACGGGTAAGATTCCCTTCCCCTATGCTCTGAGGTGTTTATTTTGAGATGAGTTGAGCATCAGCTTATTTGATTATTCAGTTGGGTAATGCATAGTGGTGAGGATACACAGGTGGATGGAAGTATTCCCAAGTGTAGCTGCAACGTTGAATCTCTGCATACCAAAACTTCTTGGGTGATTGTCACACACAAGTAGTGAGAGACAAGTTGAGGGTGTTAGGTTCTTAAATACATGTTTTAACACTTCCTCCTATAAATACAAGGATTTGTATGTTGCCTATTCAATTCATAGGAAAAAAAAAAAAGCACAGCTATGAATTGGTTTAGAATAGAGGCAAATGTTTTGTGTCACTCCCACATTTCATAACTTTCAGCTAAAAGATTTTGTATAGAATCACAGGAATGACCATACCAGATCACAGGGTTGCCTTTTCTAGTATCCTGTTCTTCCCAGTGATCAGTATTGGATGCTTAGGGAAATTTGTAACATTTAATAATCACAGAACTTCCAGATCACTGCTCTGGTAATCTAAATTAGCTTGTAAAATCAATTGTATGTAATTTGATCAACAAATTTTTAAATCTAGACAGTATTTTCTAAGTCATGTAGAATTACTAAGGTTTCTGTCAGGATTTTGGTTTTATTCCTACTTCTGCAAAAGGCAAAGGTGGCTTAAAGTTGTTTGCTTGGGTTTGTTGTTTGGTTTTTTTTTAGTAGTTATGCCACCTAGATTTTAAATCTTCATGAGGCAGGAACTGTGCTAACTATAAAACGTAAGGCACAACTTTAAATGTTTGTTTCAAACTCTACCTTGTAACAGTTTTTAAAGTGGAATCTTGTTGCTGATTTTGTTCCAAAGTCCTAAAATCTCCTCTCACTTTTTTTTAATGTTAGGACTCGTATGAGCGAGCGAAGAACATCCTGAAGACTCACGCTAAAGAACACAAGAATTTAGCAGAAGCTTTACTGAAATATGAAACTTTGGATGCCAAAGAAATCCAAGTTGTTTTAGAGGGAAAAAAACTAGAAGTAAGATGATAAGTTCTGGGATACAGTAACTGAGAATCTGAAGAATGTACATCTAGCAATGCAGTAGTCTTACGCAGCATAGCCTTTTTTTCCCCTCCTCGTGTGTATGGCATTAGTGACACTTTAATATTATTCTGTCTCTTGTGAGCTTCTGTTATTCATCTATTTGTTGTGTCTCATCAGAATAAGACACAAAATAAAACAAGTTCCTCTTTGTCTGCTCCCTATATTCTTCCCACAAGAAGTTATTAGGAAGGATAAATCTCAGGGTTAAATTCAGCATTTTGATTCAATCAGATATGTTGAAGCTGAGAAGGAAACCATGCAGATGTGCTGGTGTTTTGGCACAGCTTCCTGGGCCATGATGCTGCAGGGGTGATACCCCACAATGTGCACAATGGAATCTTCTATGAATAGTGACAGATTTGTCAAAAAGTAGTATGTAGTCTAATGCTCATACTCGGAGGCCAGAGACTTCTTATTTAGAAATGTAACCAACCATCTCTAAGAATGAAACAGCTACACAGTGCTTATCTCCTAAAGGGAATTGTGGGAGCTACATGTTAGACAAAGACATTTGTGGTGGTGTTTTCAGTGCTCTTGGGGCTGGGAGAGAAATATGAATGCAAAAGCAATGGGCTAAATGTGTGTAAGCCTCTTTCAACCATGTTTTGGGCAGAACCATGGCAGGGATAAGAGAAATGCCTGTGAACTCTGATGTGCTGCCGAGAAGATTCCTAGCTTTTTTTTTATTACGGCAGTAGATGGAGAACATGGCTTTGATTTCAGTGCTTTTACACTGCTGGAGATTCTACAGATCTAGTTTCTACTGATACTATGTATGGGCGTTTGATAATTTAACAAGTCATTTCTTCAAAGAGGGCAATATTGCTCACTACAGAGAAGTTCAGAAAATGTTTTGAAGCATGTGTCATTTTAAATAACATTCCCAGATCTGTTCTACAGTAGGAGTAGGGAAATAAAACCTTTTCTTTCAACCCTTACAGAAATCTTTGGAAATTGTAGGATAATAAGTTTTTGAAAACAAAAGCAGTTTCCAATCAAGTGGAAGTGATTGTTGGCAATTATATGCCAGCATTCTTCCCATCTTGTGGCACTGGTTTTTAGGAATAACTCATCTTGATAATTTTTCTGCACAATTCTTTGTAGACTTACAAACTTCTGTTGCAGGAGAGGCCTTTATTAGCACATTTAATGTTGAAGGTTGGACACCTTGTAGAGCGTTGCATACTTGGACATTAAATAGTTGGGGTGGTGCCAATAAATGTGACTGGAAATTGGTAGCTATACTTAAGCTAGAAGTTACATAGTATTTTAGAATTTTCCAAGTGTAATGCTTGATTATAACCTTTTTTAGTAAGAGCACATGCATTTTTTTTTCTTTCAAAACCAGGATAACTTTCTATTTGCCTATTTTGTCAGCTTACTATAGTGACATCCCAGCACAGTGTGGGAGAACTTTCAGATGTTACAAAACAGTATACCAAATGTCTAGGCTGACTAGCTACAGTTGTACATGTATTGTAGGAATATGCCAACAGAAACAGAAATAGACTGCATATTTGGCTTCTGTTTTTTGAGTAATAAAGGTTAATTTTAATTATGCATTTTGATTTTCTTTCTATTCACTGTAAATTGCTATAAAATGTAACACCAAGTTCCCTGCTATGTAAATTGAGATGTATAAAGCATTTAAACTTGTAAATAAATTTAAGAATTACGGCAAAATATTACTCTCTCTAATTAGATTTCTAGGAAATGTTCTCCTAGAAATTCAGACGTTTTTTTCAATTGCTGCTTCAGTAATGAGACTTGAGTGGCAACTTTTCCCTCTAAATGATGTGAATCTTCCTTTTAGAATCGGAAGCAAAGAAGGTGTTGGAAGTCACTAAAATTTTTATTGAATTATCTGATTTGAGGGGTAAGTCCTTGAGGTCTATCTTTATTTTTCTCATTCCAAAGCTTCTTGCTATAAACCAACAAGTGAGCAGAATTTCAAAAGAAATCCCAACCAAGGTGATACCTCACTGGGTCATGAAAGAAGACTGTTAAGAGTTAAGCCATGAAGTGTAAAGGTGTCTTTGCTTCCTGGTAAGTTGAACAGTAGAGGTGTTACTGAAAAGTTTATTGTCACACCTAGACAGTTGTGTGGATGCAATATCTGAAATTTCAAATAAACTTTTCTCTTTAGGCATTGGGTTTGGCCTCTGGTGTTCCTGGGTACATATAGGAGCTGAAATTCCTCCTCACTTGGCCATTGGATAGAGAAGACTAATGCTGGGTTTGCATAGCAAGGTTTTGGTAGCAGGGTGGCTACTTGGGTGGCTTCTGTCAGAAGCGGCTAGAACCTTCCTTAGTGTCCAAGATAGACCTGTCACGTGCCAAGGCTGAGTCCATCAGTGACAGTGGCAGTGGTAGCACCTCTGGGGTAACATGGATAAGAAGTGGGAAAAAAGCCTGCTGCAGAACAGCAACTGCAGCTGGAGTGAGGAGTGAGAATATGTGAGAGAAACAACTCTACAGACTCCAAGATCAGTGAAGAAGGAGGGGGAGGAGGTGCTCCAAGTGCAGGAGCAATGATTCCCCTGCATCCTGTGGTGATTAACAGGGTGAAGCTGGCTGCCACCCTGCAGCCCATGGAGTTCCACAGTGGAACAAATCCATCTGCAGCTAGTGGAGGAGCCCATGCTGGAGTAGGTGGATACCCAAAGGAGGCTATGACCACAAGGGAAGCTTGTGTTGGGGTAGCGTTTTGTCAGGACCTATGGACAGAGGAATCCACACTGGAGCAGGTTTGCTGGCAAGAGTTGTGAGCCTGTGGAGAACCCACACTGGAACAGTCTGCTCTTGAAGGATGGCACCTGTGGCAAGGACCCACACTGGAGCAGTTCTTTAAGAACTGCAGCCTGTAATAAGGACTCTGGAGAAATTTGTGAACTGTGTCCCATGAGTGGGACCCCATGATGGAGCAGGGGAAGAATATGAGAAGTCCTCCCCTGGGAAGGAAGGACCAGCAGAGAAAACGTGTGAGGAACTGACCACAACCCCCATTCCCTGTCCCTCTGCCCTGCTGGGGGGGAAGGAGGTAGAGAAGTCAAGAGTCAAGCCCAGGAAGAAGAAAGAGAGGAAGAAGTTTTCAGATGTAGTTTGATTTACTAAAATAAATAAATTTGCTTGTTTTGTTTTTCCTTAAATCTAGCTCTGTGGTTGGTGCCCTGTCCTGGAAATGTAATGCTGCTGGCTACAATACTGAGATTCAGCAATGTACCACTCGGGCTGTAGTAGCACTGTGTTTTGACTTCCACCTCAGGAGCAGTTTTAAGAGTAAAACTAGTTTTCAGTCTTTGACTACTCTGCTGTTTTGGTTTGGTTTGGTGGGTTGTTGGTAGCGGGGGAGGGGCCCCACAGGTGCCTCCAGTAAGAAGCTGAGGAGCTCCCCCAGCTCCAAAACCAGCCAAGGAGCCATCAGAAAGCAACAATTAATGTGTTTCTGCGATTAAGATACAAAAGGACTGATATAACAGCTGAGCAGAGCAAGCAGGAGAAGGAGCTGAGCTGGAGAGACAAAGTGATGCTGGTGGTTGGTGAGAAAGAAGGGGAAGAAGGTGCCCAAGCAGAAGTTTCCCTGCAACCCATGGTGAGATGGCAGCTGTGCCCCTGCACTCGTGAAGGAACGTGGTGGGACATTCCCTGAAGGCACCAGGAGGGGTGAACTTGGCCAGTGGACTTGGACGTTGTGGCCACAGGATTTGCTGCCTGTGGACTCTGATTGCGCAGCTTTGGAAGACCCTGGTGCCAGGGGAGTTTGTTCCCGAAGCACCTGTGACTCTGTGGGAAGCCCAGGCTGGAGCAGCTCTGGACCTCGTGGGAAGGAATCATGAAGGAGAGGTTCGTGGAGGACTCTCTCCCATGGGAGGGACCCTATGGGGAAGCAGAGAAGGACTGTAAGGAGTCTTTCTTCCTGAGGAAGAAGGAGCAGCAGGAACTACCAGCCTGTGAACTGACTCTAAACCCCATCCCCTGTCCCCCTGTGCCGCTGGGGGGAAGGAGTGAGAGAAACCGGGAACAAAGGGATTTGGGCCTGGGAAGAAGGGAGGGGTGGGGTAACATATGCAAGCCCTGCTCTTTGTGTTGTCTGTGTCCTGTGTGCATTGGATTAGTGTGAAATCATTATTTTTTTCTGCAAGTTGAGTCTGTTTTGCCTGGGACCTTAATTGGTGAAGAACCCTCCTTGTCCTTTGTCTTGACCCCTGTGCTTCTAGTTGGCCTTTTTCCTCCTCATCCCAGAGTGTGTGTGAGGGGGGGAGTGAGTGGCCACATGGCTTGTTCTTTGTTGTCGTGTTAGGCCCAAACCATAACAACTACTATTTCAAGAACTGTTTCTCCTACAAGCAAAACTGGCTCTTCAGCTCTGGAGCATTGCAAGACATGTAACTTTTAAAATAAACATTTACCCATGATCATAGAGCTACTATAATAGTAGTAGTAGAATATTGAGCTGTCTCACTGATGAAACAACCCACCCAGATACAGTTTGAGTATCTTTCTAGGTAGAAGGTTCCACAGAAAAACTGGAATGAGAAGGAAACTTAATATTCTTTAAGAGACATAAATTTGCAGGACAGTTCAGGATACCTTCTGCAAAAAATTACATATGAGAATTCTCAGACTGTTGTAGGTAGAGGGATTGGTGGGAGGGGGACTGGTAGTTTTGTTTGTTTAGTTTTAACCTCTGCAAAGCAAAGCGTGTTGCTCTAGGAAAAAAGAAAGACACAACTGCTGAAGTGCACTTCTGGTTATATACATGTTAAGTACTCCTCCAAAAACTGGCTTTGCGTTTGAATTCATTTTTCTTTTACAAAGTGATACATTATGTGTCTTACTGATGATTGTTACTCTTCAGAGCATCTTGAAAGTTGTTATTTTCATCCATCACTGTAGTATCTGGGCAGTTAACATAAAATAGTATTAATATATTAATATCTAAGTTTCAGGTGAACTTCATGTGGTCCTTGGCACATTTTTGGTTTCTGTTGTTTGTTTGTTTGTTTGTTTTAATTTGAAAGGGTATACACAGAATCACTTTTTTTTTTTTTTTAATTTTTGGAGTTTATTTCCTTTTTTTTGGTAGTAATTTGGTTAATAATGGCTTTTGGACAGAAAGTTCCCAGTGTCTCTTGAAAAATATTTTTGTTGCATTTCAGATTCGGCCAATATTGAGGAACTAGTCACAGTTTCTTCTTGTCTGTCAGTGATTTATCTTGACCTTTGTTATATAGCTTTCAGAGTGACTCTAAATGGAAATTAATTTAATGCCTGTAGACAGCTCTGAGAATGAGTAACAGTAGTAACAGTGCTTTCTGTTTGTC